AAAGAGAAACACTGATGTGAGGGAGAAACATCTGTCGGTTGCCTCCCCTATGTGCCTAGACCAGGGATCAAACTCACAATCCAAGTATGTGCTCTTACTGGAAAGCAAACTTACAACCTTTTGATGTATGGGATGACGCTCTAACTAACTGAGTCACCTGGCCAGGGCTCATTCTATGCCTAGTCCCTCTATCTACTTATCTATCTACCTCTCTATCAATCATTCTCTTTTACTCATTGATCTGTTCCTCATTAACTTTTTTTTTTAAAGAAATTTCTTTTTTTAAAAATATATTTTATTGATTTTTTTACAGAGAGGAAGGGAGAGAGACATCGATCAGCTGCCTCCTGCACATCTCCTACTGGGGATGTGCCCGCAACCCAGGTACATGCCCTTGACCGGAATCGAACCTGGGACCTTTCAGTCCGCAAGCCGACGCTCTATCCACTGAGCCAAACCGGTTTCAGCATGTTCCTCATTAACTTTTACCTTACAGTAATATTATGTATATTAGGTATGGTATCACCTTAAAAAGGAAAGAATATTCTATTAATAAAACACTTCTGTTACCAGCAGGTGTTGAGAATCCATATTGGTGGAAAAGTTGCTATGACCTTAACTGGTTCAATGGCTTTTCCAGTCTGTGTAGTTACTGTTCCTCCTTCTAGACTTTTTTGTTAATAAAGATTCACAGCAAATGAAGAGATGAGTGGAAGAGTACAAATGTTTTAAGGAACAATTATTAAAGAAAATTTAAATGTTCTCTGGTAGTGGTAAGGACCTGATTTCCTTTAAATCTTTGTGTGTGTGTGTGTGTGTGTGTGTGTGTGTGTGTCCCACTTCGGTTAATTAATTTCAAAGGATAAAACCTGCTTAGCTATTTGAAGAATCCATAATAAATATGTTGAAAAAAATGACACATTGGTTTCCAGATAAGGAAAATATTACTACCCCATGTACATACATTTAGAACATAGAAAGAAAACAAAAGAAAATTAAAACAAAAAATACAATTGATCAAAATTTCTTACATTTTATTCCTGCTCTTTGTGGAGCTGTTTCTTGAATATGCTTTGAAAATTATAGATTAGGATACAAGATCATCATTACTTATTGACTAATTTTAATTAGTGACTTATATACTTTCCCAAATAGATAACTGAAAAACTCAGATAAACAGCCTGAAAGAACATATTATCTTAGTGTGTGGTTTGCTCTTTCAATTTATTTAGAAATTAAAACAAAGTTTTTGAAAGCCCCTGAATATTCTTGTGAGACATTTTATTTTGTTCAAGTAAATGTTAAGAAAAAAAATTTAAAGATCTGTTTCAGCACAGGTAAAAAAAAAAAAGCTGTCCTACCTGGTTTGGCTCAGTGGACAGAGCCTGCGGACCAAAGGGCTCCAGGTTCTATTCCAGTCAAGGGCACATACTTGGTTGCAGGCTCCTCCCCTGCCCTGCCCCTGATCAGGGCTCATGCAGGAGGCAACCAATTGATGTGTTTCCCTCATATCAGTGTTTCTCTCTGTCTTTCCCTCTCTCCCCCACTCTCCCTAGAAATCAATGGGAAAATATCCTTGGGAGAGAATTAAAAAAAAAAAAAGCTGATTGAAATTGTACAAAATTTTTTTTATATATTTAGCAGTGGAAAATTTTCCAAATATAACATAAATTAGATATTTAAACAAGTAAAAAAAATAGATTTAGAAGGGCCTTGGTGGCATCTAATCTGATTTGTTTTTAGAAATCGTTACACAAAAGTCCAGTATATGAAGCTCTGATTGAATTGGGGTGCGGGAACACGGGGAAGTTGGTGTCCATCCCTGCCTGCTTATCCCTTTCTCCATTATGACCCTTATCCACTGGGAGAACTGTTTAAAAATCATCAATATTTAAAATTTTCCTCTTTAGGCTATTTCATTGTTGAGAAACTGTGAAGTTACTAGTCAAGGTTACACAACTTATTATTTTCAGTCAGAACTTTAATCCAGATATTATGACTATATCCAATGATTTCTCACTCCCCAATCTGCAAGAAATGAAATATATAGTTATATATAGTTAGTTTTTATTACTTACCCAATTGTTTAGGAGGAGCAGGGAAACTGGAAAGAAAATGAAAACACAATTATAATCAGACCAATATAAACACAGAAATCGACTCCTCTATTTTAGAGAGACATGAACAAGTAACAGACTGGGGGCTTATTGAGACTAATCAATCTATTGATGATCATTCCTTTCTCATCCTCCATTTCTCCATTAAGTCCAGTTTCTGTCCATTGATTTGGAATTTAGCAAGACTTTTTTGAACTCCAATGTTAGCCAAAAAAGTCAAGAGTCAAGACATTCAGTGGTTTATTTTCTCGTAGCCATTGGATCAATGTTTTCAGATTTGTTCTATGAGGTATGGGCATATTATTACCACAAGGTAAATTAAATGGCCTCAATATTTTGAATTCATTGTGGCATAGCTCAGGCCAAAACTGTTTGTTTGACTCAAAGAGTAGAAATGCAAAATTGACATTTACAAAGGTCTAGGAATCTTTATAAGACCATGTTTCCCCAATATATATCCCCAAACAGGAGAATGGTGAATAAGAGAGGCATATCCATTGAAACAAGTGAGAGAGAGCTTATTAATAGAAGTGATCTGAAATCAGGATTGGGTGTCATTTAGTTGCAACAGAAAAAGATCTTTGCTTTTATTACTCCCTGAACTTTAAGCACACACACACACACACACACACCACTGGAAGAATGGTGCACAGTTTTATGAAAGAATGAGAGGTCATTAGTTCAAATAATCCAAAATTAGGATTAGCTTTTGTGTAATTGAAGCAGAAAAAATAACCGTGGCTTTTATATCTAAGCAAGGATTATATTTGAGTAATGCTTCATCAAAAGATTTGTTACATTCAGCTATAATTTTAAGTGTCCTATTTATTGAGTGATGTTTTAGTGTCTCACAAAAGGGTTGAATCGTGTACCAGATAACATGATTAAGATCTTTCAAAATCACATGAATGGAATTTGTACTAAGGGTTATTTTTGGATGGAGAGAGAAAATTGTTGCATTAAATTTTATTTAGACAAACTGAAGACATTTAGGATAACTTTAGTATAGTATAAATATATCATTCAAATAGAATTAATATGTCACTATTGTGAAAGTGAGTTACAAAAACTTTAAATAATGTGTTTAGAGAAAGGAAATTCCAAATGTGTTCTTTATGTCTAGCAAATTACTTTTTAAAAGAGTAAGTATATTTTGCCCTAGCTGGTTGTGCTTAGTGGATAGAGTGTTGGCCTGTGGACTGAAGGGTCCTGGTTCCCTTCTGGTTAAGGGCACATGCTTGGGTTGGGGGTCAATCCCCAATAGGGGGCATGCAGGAGGCAGCCGATCAATGATTCTCTCTCATCATTGATGTTTTTCTCTCTCTCTCTCTCTCTCTCTCACTCTCTCTCTCTCTCTCTCCTTTTCCTTTCTGAATCAATAAAAAGATATTTTTAAAAAGAGTAAGTATATTTTGAGGAGTAGTTACTGTAAAATATTATATAATAAAATGTGGCATAGGAATTGTGAGTTTTCAGATCTAATGTTACAGTTTAAAAAGTCCTATTAAGTTATGAGTGTGTGAAGATATGTGTGTGCACATACATGTATGTGTGTGTATTTGTGTATGTTTGTCAGGAAAACAAAATATATCTTTGAACTATAATTTTTTTTAAATACTTTGTGCTCCTCTTATGTAAATGCATGAGTTTAAGGGTGAGACAGCAAGTGAGGCTAAGATAATTAATTTAAAATAATATTAAAATTGCGTAAGTCTGTCAGAATTCGGTTATCAGTTACAAAATATTAGTAGGATTTGATTAAATTAATATTAGTGTAGTTATTGTGCACTGGATTTGGTTGGTTGACTCTTACGATGAACCTTCATTATTGTCTGACTCAGAGTCTTTAGGTTTCTCTCGTATACTTTTCTTTCTGTCATCTTTTCCCTTTAAAATCTTCAAAATCCCCCAGGACCAGGAGTTACTCTTCTCTTCAACCTGTAGTGTGGAGCTTAGGGGCATGCAGGCATTGATCAGAATGGAATAATCAGTGGAACACGAAGACATTGGGTGGACATTCAGGCTTGCTATAATTAGGCTGCATTGATCATTCAGGTAGTGAGTTACTCATTGTTGTAAACAAGATGATGCAATTAAACTTACTAGTACAAGTCATGAACTCTGAATACTGCTGCTTAGTAAGGTAAGGAGTAGGTACATTCTATTTTTTTTTCTATTTGGTGAGTTTTCTCTTGGTTCTTAAAATAGTAAGCTAAGTCAAGATTAAGTTTTAAACATCAATTGAGCTTTATTTTTA